TGTGATAGAGGAATGTTAACCAGTGAATCTGTAGTTACGTGGAATCGTTTCATATGCTTTGCTTTTTTCCCCTATAATATTTTTTGTTTCGTACGTCCTTGCGTGTATGTGTTATGCTTTTTTCTGGGCTTTGTATTTTTCTCGCTATCGTTTTGCCAGTTGTCTTATTTAGAGTGTGCCGTGTATGGCACGGCGAGTTAAGCATGAATCATATAAATGGTTCAAAGTGTTTTTGGGTTATATTAAAACTGAAACCGGTTTGTCAACGATGAAATGAGCAAAAGACACTCGACTGCTACCTGACCCCTTTGCTCAACTATTCTGGGTGAATTAAAATCAAATGTCGATTGTTTATTTACGAATTTTAAGCTTCTCAATTTGCTTATTCAATAATTTATTGTCACTTTGCACTATACACGTAGCACCTACCGTCTTTACAAATGAGACCACGAATTCATTTCAACGGATTCAGTTTTCGTTTGCATTGGCCCATTTCACAATTGACAAACCGATTTCAGCCATACCTTTACTTTTCCATTCGTTATGAATGTTATCCTGATTTTCATTTTTCCACAATTCACAACCGATACTGACTATTTACACGAATGTACATTCACTTCGTAATCCATGTCCGTGCGCAACAACAAAACGCTTGTCGCTTTTTCGTTCATCGCACATTCCATGAATTCATTCACTCTGTTTCTTGTTCGCTGGCTAGTTCGCTCTAGTTTTTTTTTCCAACCATTGTTTGCATAAATCGTGCAACAGCAGCACTTCACAAAACACTTTCAGAGGGATCCGATATTTTCATTGTTTACTTACAATCGTTGTGAATTTGTGATGTATTAAACGAAGACGATTTGTGGAAAATCGCAAATAAATGTCATTGGATTTTCCAACGGCTATGCCATGGGAGTTTGAGCATAGCAAAGAATGCAATAAATTTTCTAGCAGTTTGCGTCATTCATGCAATTTTTTTGTGACTTTCTTTTGATTCTATGTTGTGCGCACTCTTCTCCGCTGTGTCTCTTTTCCTCTGTCTCTATCTACTTCTTCTGCTCGTTGCAACGTCAATTTCAAATGAACACTCTTTCGCATTGGATCTTTTTCTGTGTTGCCATAGATTTTTTTTCACTCACTCTCCCTTTCTCTCGCCCATTCTTCATTTGTGTTGATAATTATTTGTATTAAGCGGAGAAGCTGAGTGACTTTAAAAATTAATTGAGCCAAGTTTGTAGAAGAGGCAACAGCATTGTGTGTGTGAACATAGATGATGACACCGTTTGCATTTTCATCATTCATCGTACATACCAAATTGTAAATGAATGAACCGAAACCGAGTTTGAAGAGTGCCAACTGCCAAATGACTTTATATATATATAAATATATATTGCCAAAACAATTTCCATGTTAACTCACTCACTTCACACCCTCAGCGCAAAGGTATCTGTAAATTCTTGCAGTTCTGTCGAATCCCAATGAATTGCCACCAAGTGCCTGAGGATGTTAAAGAGGTGCAGCGCTTTTGTTATGGTCGCATTCTCATTAATTAGCATGCTACCACGCGCGGCATGAATATTAAATAAACAGAGGAAAAATCCCACAGATATTGTGAAGCGTGATGATGGTGGTGGTTACCACCGGGTGGTATGACGAAACCGTGAGCTGTGCACGCAAAATAACGACGATGACGACGACGACGACGACGATGATGATGAATAACAGGAAAAATTCCTCATTCACATAAACGAATGCTAGAAGTGTTGCGAGGATTTTATTTCTACTTCTTCTTTTAATTTTCTACGGAACGCAATCACTCATTCATTCTTATCTATTCGCTCTGTTGGATGTTATTAGTTTAATCTGTGTCATTTTTTTATTCCATATTTTTCTGCAAAGTCACTGAATGAGTATAGAAGCGAAACGCAAATAATCTTTTCAGCACAGTTCTTCTGAATCATTTGGTCCACACACACAAGTCAAGTGTCATCAAGAGAGACGCGGCCAAATCGCCAGAGTAAACAAATACAAATACAAAAACACACAAACGGTGTGGTGTACGTTCGTGCAGAGCGAACATTTTCTGCGCTTCGCTCATTTCTCTGAATTTTTTTTCTTTCTCCTACTCTCTTTTGTGTCCTCTATTTTGCAATTGCTAACGAGAATAATATTGTTTTATTTAGGTTTTTTTCCCTCCGTTTTGGGGTTTGTCGAAATCAAATTATATTTTAATCGTAAACGACATAATCGTCATTATGAATATCAAGTTGCTTATATTCGTTGTTTTCGTGTTGGTTGCGACAATTTCGAGTGTTCTTGGTACACCATTTATTCATCGACAAGGACAAATTGGAGGAGTCAAAGGCCAAACAGAGATACCAACACTACTACCATTTAATCCGCATGCACGCCCATTTCCATGGACGTAGAACTGGCGTTTTTACTATTCGAACTCCACATCAAGCCACGCTATGCCATACTCTCCTCCAATGTACGACCCCAAATTTGAGAGACTAAACAAAACCGAGCAAAACAAAAACAAACGAAAAAAACGGAAGCAGAAGAGTTATGAATAAATGAAGAGTTTATGAATGTAAAGATTGAAATAAAAAAGAAAAGCGTAGAAAAAAAGCAAACGCTGTATTTTATTATGAAGACCATCTGAGTGGTGCTCATCTACCGATCGTATCACGATTGCTTCTCCCATTTGGCCGAAAGTGAAGGAGAGACAGAGAGGAACAGAGTGTGTGCATGGTATTTGTGGTATCCTTAACCGAAATATTCGTGTTATATTATTATCAACTCATTGCATGCACTTGAAACTTGCGGTTTCTGGCAATGGCTTGATATTCAACATTCGCGGTTTGCACAAGGAACATTATCTATTGTATCTCTCTTGTGGGGTAAATATTTGGATTTAAAAAAGAAGAAGAAGAAAAGAAGAAGGTGGAGAAGAGATGATGAGGAGGAAGAAACCAGCAAGGGGCAGAGCGTACTAGAGTAATTCTTCTAGTCCAACGCAATTCTGAAATAATTCACAGTAATTCCTCAGAAACGTCAGAACAAATCAGGAGGAATTACTGTGAATTACTTCGGAATTACTTTGGACTAGAAGAATTACTCTAGTACTGCTCTGCCCCTCGGAAACCAGTCAAATTGCGTTCCACCAAAATACCATGCGCCTGCCTTATCGAATTCATTTTATGGTGGAAGTTGGAAAATATTTATTTGTGTTAATAAAATCGAATTAACTCTTGCCATCGCATTCAGATTGCCATGTCAAATGCTCTTTGAATGGAATCTCCTGAACTGTGAACATGAAGTGCAGAAAGGCGATGCTCTGTATTCCTCTGAATTAGACATTTTCGGTTGCTTTAACAATTCGGAACAAGATTTATTTAGTGCCTTTGATAAACGGAAGAGTCAAAATTCCTTTGTTGTTTGACTACTACTTGGATTACATCTCTTCTCTCTCTCTCTCTCTCTCTCTCCCTCTCTCCCTATCTCACTTTCTCTTATTCTCTGGGCCCACTTATGGCTTACGCATTCCAGATGAAATTGCGATTTATCTTTGGAACCAGCGGCTTGACGATAGTCGCCTATACACATTCATCCACCCCTCCCCCATTTGAATTAAATGAACGACGATTTCGAGCTAAAACTTTGTGCTTCAGTACAATTGCAAAAGCAACTCTGCTTCCTTCTATACCGACACTATCACCATTACCACACTACCTATCACGATATCATTAAAACAAACATCCGGTTCGGAGATAGAGATGAAAATTTGAATATATATGTGAAGCCGAATTGTACAATAGAACCATGATTCAAATGTCTTTTCACATTTTCCGGGCTGTGTCTTTTCTGCGTTGACTTTGAATGAATGTACGAAAAACGCATTCGATGTTGCGTGCACAGAGACGTCACACAGGTATACGTGCGATATGCTGATGTGCCAATCAGAACACAACCATTGCATTGCTATCGCCTATATGCAATGCTCACGAATTTCAACATTCCCATTTATTCAGAGTTTGTTGGCTGTTTTTGTCGTCGCTATTGCTGCTGCTGCTGCTGCTGTTGTTATTTGAATATTCCGCAGTCTTCAAATTATTTGCGTTCACATTCCTTCCATAATAATTTTCTGCAGCATATTCACGATATTTACTTGCAATCATTGTTACAATCCACATTGTAATTTACATGGGAAATTCCATTGAAAGCAGAAAATGAATTAATATATATGAATGAAATTGACGACATGGAAGAAACAAAATACTTGAAAACATTCACAACCGAACAATGGGACGTGGTGCATCAGCAAATTGTGTCGATTGCAATATTCGAAACCAGTTCGGCTCTCTATATGCTCTCTATGGGTGCACAAGATGTGTCGCGCGACGAAATGGCTCAACTGAGAGAAACTGAACGCAGCGACGGGTGGAAAGCCAAAACGATAATGTGAACCCAATCTGATAGTTTGCGAGTATGCAACACCAATTCTCGACAACACACAACAACTCCTGATACACCACTTGCGTTCTGTGCTTCTTGTCTTACCATATATTAATAATATTCTCGACGCATAGCATGCCATTTGCAAATTTACATTGTTGGCACTTGAATACGTTGAATCGAAATATACTGCAAAACATTTATGAACATGTTTCTATGTTATTTTTCATTTCATGTTGCCGTTATTGTTAAATAAAAACATATTATTTTCTCCTCACTTAAGTCCAATGCGTTCATCATATTTTGCGGTCTCATTTCATTCGAATGGCATTCATGTTGAACCACTTGAATGAATAATGTCATTTGGATGAGTAGATAAAGAGGCGATTTTCGGCTCGATATTCGGATGGGATGGAAAATGTTTATTTGAAATACGCTAATCCCATCGTTCGCTGCCAATCAAAATTTGATTCATTTGATCAAATTATGTTGATTATTTTTCTTATCATTATTGTGTCATTTTGGTTTGTCTTCATTTGCAGGAAATTGAAAAAGAAACAGGAGCGCATTTGCAAGAAACTTTACAATCGACTTCTCGAATATCCGGAATGTCAACGAGTATTAGGACTGCCAGTCTATCGACCTTTGTTCGATGGTAACGATTTATGGACAAACAACGATAGTTTAATTGACTGGAGTTATATAAATGGTACAATACATGCAACAATCGAAGCCAACCGAACTGCAACCAATATCCTAGCGAATGAAATCAAACCGGTGCTGCCAGCACTTGAATTATGGCAATCAATCATGGTTGCGCTCATCATAGCAATTTGTATGATACTCACGATCGGTGGCAATATTTTAGTTTTATTAGCATTCATTGTGGATCGAAGTATCAGGCAGCCCAGTAATTACTTTATAGCATCACTTGCGGCAACTGACATGCTCATAGGTAACTACGTTTCTCTTCCCTTATTCTCTCTCTCTCTCTCTCTCTTTCTCTCTCTTTCTCTCTCTTGCGTTTTGCCTCTTTTTATGGTTTTACTTTTATTTACAATGTGTACGTGTGTTCGTTCACATTGAAATCATTGAGTTTGAATGTTTATTGCACACGCGAAATGAAAACGAATTATGTCTTTCGCTCCCTGCGTGTGTGTACCACTCTTGTTGTTTCATTGATTTTAAGTATTTTTCCTACATTTTTTCGCCGTTAAATGTGATTAGGAACGGTTTCAATGCCATTTTTTACGGTGTATGTACTGCGAAGATATTGGGATCTGGGACCGCTGCTGTGTGACCTGTGGCTGTCTGTTGATTTTACTGTATGCCTCGTATCACAATACACGGTTCTACTGATAACAATCGATCGATTTTGTTCCGTCAAAATAGCTGCTAAATATCGCAGGTAAATAATCGGAAAATATTCAAAAAGCTAAGCCCAAGTTTCTTTACATCACTTCAAAATTTGTACACAGTTGGCGAACGCAGAAAAAAGTACTGTGGATGGTATCGATCACATGGGTCATTCCGGCTTGCTTATTCTTTACATCAATCTTTGGATGGGAGCACTTTATCGGCTATCGTGATTTGCTGCCTGGCGAATGTACCGTCCAATTTCTAAAGGTAATCAAACGTAAATTATTATTCAATACTTCAATCACGATGGAATTACGAAGAACGAATTTGTTCCAAGAATTCCTAAATCAACAGAGTTCGAACATTGCTATTCGTTTCAATAAAGGCAAATTTGAGTGCATCCCATTCATCATTTGATAGGGATCTGATTGCCTCCATGACTTTTTGAAGACATTTGGAATCTTTGATTTCCCATTTCATAAATGCATTTTTCATGTGGAATTCTTTTTCTTTCGTGTTTTTTTCCATTTTCATTCGCAGGATCCTGTATTCAATACGGTAATCAAATTCTTGCAATCAAATAATATCGACAGTGGTTTGGTGCATGTGATTTGCCATTCGCTTGGAGCCGGAAATGTTGGTCGCAGCATGAAATCTCGAATTGAACGGTAAGAGTATTTAGATTGCACTTTGTAATCTTTGTAAAAACCAATCTAACGCATTTTACCATAGGAAATGTGTTTTGGCCCATTACAAATGTGCAATCTAACTGCTCTTACCAAAACTGGCACGATTCAGCCGTCAAAGCGTATATTTCTGCTTCCGTTGAGTATATTCATGGAAAAGTATTCGTGCTTGGAATCGATCATAAATCAAAAACAAAATTATATTGTGATAAGAAATGCAACTAGCTTGTCAGCGAATGAGTCAATTGCTATCGATGAATTGAGATTACTTGTAACGAATGAAAAAAAAAATTAAATTTTAATGTGTAATTTCTAGGCACTGATCATTGGCTACTACTGGACAACATTAATTGTACTGTTTGTGCTGTACGGTGGTATCTACAAGACGGCATACGATATGCAGAAGCGTAGTGAGGCGAAACAGCGAAAGATGCAATCAATGGTTGCCTTGTCGGCTGGTGCAATGACGGGGATGGCAGGACGAGCGGCCGGCATTGGAATATCAAAAGATCAAAGTACACTGCTGAGCCAAGATACTCAAATAAAAAAAGTGACTGCCGCTGTGACCCCATCATCATTGCCACCATCAAATGTAACGTCATCATCATCATCAAATCAAATAAATGAGGCAACGACCAGAAAGACTTCGGTACCAAAGCATAAATCCGAAAATGTAGATAATAAGCGGCCAAAGGCGAAGAAGGAGCTCAGTGAAGGTGATAAGAGTGAACGATCGAGTAGTCCAGCCTTTGATTCCGATGACGATAGCACTGTTCCAAGCGCACAACAAGAAACCCAACAGCAGAAACAGATTAAAAAACGCACTTCATTGGCCGGTCTATTTGTGCAGGCACAAGCACCCGTATTTGCGGCTCGATCGAATGGTACCGTCAAAACGGTCACCAAAAAAGATCAATCGATCCAGGTGAAAAAATCGCCCGGTTCCCGAATGGAGGCAATGCCAAAAATAACCGAAGCCAGCCTGTTAGACTCAGACAATATTAGTAGCGAAGCGTCTAAACAGCAAATGGTACCGTTGCTACCAACGCCGGTTCAATCGCCGATATCACCAAAAGATATCGAACCACCACAAGCGCCCGTCGAACAAGCTCAGATAAAACTTTCGCACGAAATACTACCGCCACCCGATGATTTCCAAGGCAGCCCAAACGCCACGTCAAAGAGCCCGTCAATCAAATCGGATCGACCCAGTAGCCTTGTAGTGAGCAGCCAAAGCGAGCTAACCATGACATATGACATTTTAGGCGGTATGGACGGTGCCGATTTACGATTCATGGATGAAAGTTCCGTGGTTGTATCGTCGCCACAAAATGAGAGTCCACCAACAACGATCATATTGCCGCCGAAAAATGTGTCGCCAGCCAAAGGTCAGAATATCGCAAATCCATCACTATTACAAAAGGCACTGATCAAAGCGACCGCTCAATCACAGCAACCATCACCAACCGTTTTACTGAAAACCTCGGACGAATATCACTCCTCCATAGCCGTATCATCAACGGAAACCTTCAACAAATACAATACCACGGTAAATGTAAGTGAAAAAACTGACCGCCCGGTAACAACGATTGTTAATGCGATTAACACACAAAAATCGAATTTGGACGAAACGGCCGAACAACGGCGAAACACAGTCGTCAGTGGCGTCACCGTTGCCACCGTTGCAACCGTTGCCATTGACGAGCGCCTAATCTCCAGCACCGACACCAACAGCATCTGTTCGAAAACAACCATTCTGGCACAAACATCAAACGCACCAACGACTCTAGCCACAGCAACAACGACAACAATCGATTTGACAGGCAAAAATCAAAATATCACATCAATCACACCGGCCGCATCGAGCACATCACAACCGGCATCATCGACTGACAAAGCGTCTAGCAAACGAGATTTTATTCGATCGATTGGCAAACGATTGAAAGGTCGCAAAAAGATTCCATTGATGGGCGGTCGGCCAAAATCAAAGTCTGAAAATCGGGCACGTAAAGCATTCCGAACGATTTCATTTATTTTAGGTGCATTTGTTGCGTGCTGGACACCATATCATGTGCTAGCATTGGTCGAAGGATTTTGCTCGGATCCACCGTGCACCAATGTGCATCTATATATGTTTTCATACTTTTTATGTTATGCAAATAGTCCAATGAATCCGTTCTGTTATGCACTGGCCAATCAACAGTTTAAGAAAACATTTATGCGTATCTTGAAAGGTGATTTACACATGACGTAAACGTGTAAAGTGAAATAGAGGGCGATGAGACAAATGAACGCTGCACGAAATTTCTTACATAAACACGAATGAGCGCGCGTGCTCTCTTTCAATTTCGCATACCAACATCAGAACATGAACATAAAAGTTTATCGCTTGCTTCATGTGACTTTTTGGCTTAAAAACCTTTCTTTTTCTACCCTCACTCCGTGTTGATCTTGTCAAAATATTTTGCCGAAATGATTATCAAAGGGAAAAAGTTGAAGTGCATACACCGACAGAGGGAAAAGTAAAAAAAAGGCGCGATAAGATAGCGATGAAATTTTTGTTTCTTCTCATTGATGGGGAATGTTCAAAATGTTTCAGTTAAATCGAAAAGTGCGGAACATAAAACGGCAATACACTTGAAATCGATATCCAAAACAAAATAAAGAAAAAAAAACAATCTTAGACGGTCCACGCTACTTAGACATTTAGGGTTAAAATAGTAAACAATTTTGATTCGAGCAAAGAAAAATTAGTTATCGATGAACTGACGATACGAAGAGGTAGACGTAAAAAAAAGAATAGGTTGAAGAGAACAAATGATGGGAGTGAAGAACATATCAATTTCGATTGAGTCAAAATTGAAACAAACGGATTGAGATTTTGTGTATTGATCTTATGATTAAAAAAACAATAAAAAAAATTACATAACAAACAGCAAAGAAACTCATTACAAAAATGGGAGAGAAAAAAAGTTATGAAAACGTAAATTTAATGCCAATAACAACAATACCGCAGAAACAAAAGCGTAAAAACGGGAGAAGAAGAAGATAAACCGACATAGCATTTCGTTAAAATGATAAATAAACGCAGCTTAATTAAGAGTGAAAATGTCGACATGAATATCCTTTTGTCGCATCAAATACGATAATTCGATGTAATCCATTGCATAACACTGTTGTTGTACACTCATTTGCATTGGTGTGAATATTATAATGCCCGCTATGATTTGAATGACAGTTTTATGTTATGGCTGCATGAATGTGTGTCAGTGAAACTAGAGTCTAATTCGTGTAAATTCCAATGCAGATGCTTTTGCAATTAACGCGAAGTGTGGAGAAGAAAAAAAAAACACACACACACACACACATCGTACGCATACATACATGCAAACACATATATGTTCGTGTGTGGACGGACACGATGACGATGACGATGGCAACAGCAAAACAAATGTAATGAATGAAATGTGTGACATGCAACACACCTAATTTATAGATGTGAAAAAAGGCATGCAAAACTTTTAATAGACAATAATATTTGTTAAATATATCGAATTAAAATTCAAAACAAAAAAACGTATTTTGTAAATAAATATTTCTAGTCCATGAGATATCAACTGAAGACAAGAACAAAATTTGAAGTAAAACAAAACTAAAAAAAAACACACACACACAGACACACAAACCAATATGTTGAATGATAACAATAATTTAGGGGTTAGTTAATTTTTTTTAGATTCTAAGTGAATATTTAGCAAAATTCATAATGTTTGGTGTTCATATGTTTTGAACGGACATGAACGGAGTTTGATTTAAGTAACTAAGAGGAAAAAAAACAGTTAGGAATGTATGTAATAGATAAAGAAAAAAAAAATAATACAAAAATTGTGTGTGTTAAAATACAGAACGACATGGAATCCTTAGCGAATTGTGATTACTTTTCAGATAAAAATTTTATGGAATGAATGAACAAAAAAAAAACAAATGAAAATGTCTATCTCATTTCGCTAACGATTCTCGATGTCATAAACTGAAATGTATTGTTAATCCCGATTTGGATGTAAACCAATCGTTTTCACAACATTTCAGCACAACATTTATCTTGGATGATATGCATTTGCTGAAGGTAAACAAGGATCCTCCCAGTTTCCATGCCTTTTACCTTCCATCAAGTGTGTCCATTAAGCGATTCAATTCGAACTAAAAGTTTCAACTATCCAAATTCGATGGCACTTTTAATTCAAATTGAATCGAACCAATTGTAAAAACTATTAACGTGCAGTAGCTTACGCTCGAGTATGGTTTAAAATTCTTTACGATACATGTCGCCAGTGGATATTTGGAACATTTATTGTTCTCCATCTGTTTGTTGTTTTCCTTTTTCGACAACATTTCACAATTAATATAACGACAAGGCTAAATAGCATGGGAAAAAAGAGACGATTTTTTTTTAAATAATTGCATACACTGCATGAATTAAACACCACTCAATGCATCAACACCAGCTTTTACGCATTATTAATTAAGTGGATTTGATTGATAACATTTACAATCCCCATTTGACATCGTTTTATAACAACTCTAGTTGTACACACTCGTTTCACCTCCGTGTGCCATACGGCAACGCTAAAGCCACATGTCAGGAAATCGGTTCAATTCATTATGAAGTGTTGCCATTTTTTGTGTCGCTCCTACGAATGAAAGAGGGTGAAAAATCGAATGAGCAAATATGCAAATTTCCATATCACACGGCAACTGTGTCAATCTTTGAACTATGTGTCCGCCATTCGATCAATTGATTCAACATAAAATAACACTCAATCAAATACTAATGCTGATACATATTTCGAATACGTTTCGTATGCACTGCACTCATCATCATTCATCTGCGCCTCTCTTCATCTTCAGCCAATATGCGGTTCGGAGACACGTAAGTGATCTGAGCAAATATTTGATTTTTTCGTTCTGTATTCGTATCACTCTCGAGATATGTTCAATTAATGTGTTCATTGTGTTTGCCATTTCCAGGAAGAAAAAAGAAGATCCATCAACGAAACGTTGCATTGACGATAGTTCGATTGCTGTATTAATTCTATTGAGCAAGAAACGGGGATGGAGAGAGAGAGAGAGAGAGAGAGCACAAACGATTTGATTGAATGAGTGATAAAACATCGATTTATACTTAAGGTAAATAGTGGTTATTTGACTTTTGGCAATAAACCGAAAAATAAACAAAAATGGAGCGTTAACTAATTTGTTCACATCATCCTCTTTGCTCTCTCTCTCTCTCTCTCTCTCTGCTCCTTTTCAGTTGACGAAATGAACACAACGACAACTGTTCTCCACCAAGCCGTTCGCTGCAGAAAGACTAAGCGATTTTTGTTGTTGTCATGTTTGCTTATCTCAAATGCCATCATGACATTGCAATGGATAATTTTCCAATGCTGTTGAAAGCTTAACAATTTTACACTGGCTTATCAATGAAGCAGCGATGACTTATTTTTCCGTGACCGACCGAACGAACCGAAGCCATCTACAATGATGGCGGCGGCAACGGCAACGGTGGTGGTGGTGCTGGTGGTGGTTAGAATTATAATTGCAATCGATAGCAGTACACAACCGTCATATTTAATTTGACTCAATTTCAGTTTGGAAAAGCCTGCATTATTTATGTATTTATAGTGAAAGCCACTTGCTTAATTACAAACGATTCGTTGCACGTGAACGCGAGAGCGATTTAAATTTCATTTGTTTATTGTGTCAACGTTGGATAGTCTTAGCTGACGGTACCCATCGAAAACGACATGTGGCGTTATGTTGCTATTCTTTTTCTCTCACGTTCCCTTTTGATTCAGTTTTCATTTTTTGTTCTTCTTTTTTTTCCTCTCTATCCTCGTCTCTTTCTCTCTTGTGCAGGGAACATTTGACGAGTTTACGGTGCTTGTATGTGTGCAATTTTAATTGTCATACAACGAAGCAACAATAAAATCATTCATTACGATTTCGAGTAGTTTGGTCGCAGTGCCCGTGAATTGGACCATTAATTAGAAAGTTTTTCGCGCGCTGGAATAAAAAAATGACGACAACAACAACAGCAACAACGAAAAATATACGACAAAGAGTTGTGCACGTGCTCAGACGATTCGAATGCATAACATTTATTGATTGATGAAAATGCTTGCACGACATGCATATTTCGTAATTTCATGTTTTTGCGCTGTAGCCCTTCGATTATCCCGAATGTAATACAAAATAAATGTGCAATTTTTTTTTCATCAACCCGTTCCCCTCTCTCAACAGCACCATGCATTCCAGTTCAACAACCGGTCCGAACGGTTTATGCAAATGAATTTTTTTTTGTCTCCCCTCTTGTTGCTGTTGTTCTTGTCAGGAAAATTGTTGAACGTTTGCAAAAGAGTTAGAGTACATGCGATCAACATAAGATATTCCAATTCCAAAACTAATTGACATTCCTTAAATGCCGAACGCGGTAACCGAGCAAAAAATCGTCCGAATTATGCATTTTTCTTGTGACATAAAAATCACTACGACACACACACACACACATACACGGATAAAAAAAAAATCGGATCTGATATCAAAGCGTGTAAAATCACATTTCACCAATGCGTCACATGACTTCATGTGATTCGAATGATATCACACCCGACTGTGGAAAATCACATTTGAAAAAAATCACCCTGGGAAAAACAAACCCAGGCCCGTCGAAAAAAAAATGTCTCTCATTCGAATAACACGAACGATTGGCGTTGTGTATACCATGCATAAAAAAGCTCTACACGTTGTTAATTTTTGCATCGGCATGAGAAATAGCAAAAAAAAGAAGAAGAAGAAAAAAGCAACCACCGACCGAAAACGAAAACAGAAAACATAGAAGAAAAAAAAAACAATTGTAAACCATGTGCGACAATATCGTGTTTGTTTCTCCTAACCAGAGCCCCCCAAAAGAATATCAAACATGATATATTGCGTGCATTCTCTTCCGTGGCCGATGTGCTTCGGATTTAATTTTAATTGTTGGAAAACGAACAAGAAAACGATAGCAACACTAAAAGCAATAATAACGACACTTGATTGACCCGCTTTATATATACATATACGACGTATACATATATTTTTGTTGTTGTTGCGTTGTTGTTGCTTGATGGGCGTACATTTCAAACGGATGAATATAGAGTGAAATTCATGTTATGTATACAAACTCAATTGAAATTCTCAAACAAACATCACAAAAGAAAGCAGGTAATTCAGATGTCGACGAATTCGGTTTTCTTCTTCGTTTTCCAAAGAAATAAAAGCAAACAAACAAAAAAAAAAACAAAAGAAGAAAAGAAATAAATACTTGCATTTTTACACTGACAACACACCAAAAACATTGGAATGTTGAACGTTCGTTTGGCAGTATTCAAATATTACTTAAGATCTTAAATAAAATGTAATAGAAAGACATTAAATACAAAGGAAATCAAGTCTGCGAGTCTATTTTTCAAATTCTTCGAAAGAATTTTTTTTTCTTTATAGAGAGCACCCCAATGAACAAGACAATCTTCTTCTGAAATAAACAAAAAAAAAACTACAACAACAACAAAAATGAAGGAAAATAAAAGAAATACACTCAAACTGATCTTTAACTAGTACACGTGGCCTGCGGAGTGGACATTCATTCAGTCATTGTAAAAATGAATGATATTTTCCTCATTTATCGAGAATAACATTCAAAAATGAAAATGAAATAGAAATAAATAGCAAACGAAGGATTATTTTATATCTATGAATTTGAATAGTTATTTGAATCGAGATTTAAATACTCTTATCTGTCAATTGGTTGAAACTCAATCACATTTATCGCCGGATCAAGTGACTTTTCAAGCTTGAATGAAAGCGCATTTTTTGTACATTATCTGTAAATATTTGCATGCAATAAGATGTATGTTGAAGAAGAAAGAGAAAAAAATAATAATTATAAAATGAATGAGAATCATTCAAGGACAAAATGAAGAATAAATTCAAATAAAATGACTAGGAAAATCCGATGATCTAAGACGAGTAAATTAGTTTAATGACAAATGTTGACAATGACTTAAGAGAAACGCAACTGCACGTTACTATTATAGGTATAACCGTTTATGTTTGTAAGTAGACAAAAAAAATGAGACAAATCTTCTGTAGACAAGGAAAAAAACCGAAAGAAAGGACAGATTTATAGGGTGTAAGACAATTTGAGTTTAAAAAAAAATACATTATTACTTTATGCAATTTGAGGCGTTTCTGTTTTTTTTTTCTTTGTAAATAACACCGAGTTATGAATCGCAAATTATATAGACCAACTGATGAAGATGCTTTGAGAATAACCAAGTCAAATTATTTATTGATAACGTATTAAGGTGGAAAGAATAGCTAAGTGTCTCTTGCAAACAAGAGCAACAACCCCCATTCCCAACCACAAACTGACTAGCATTCATATAAGAAAAATATATCAAACAAACCAACATATTTGAACAAATTAACAAAAATGAAAAAATTGAATACAGAAACGTTGTAAGCTTTTGTAACTATTTTCGCAAGCTTCAGAATTATGTGAAAAAGTGATTTTTTTTTCTTCGCATGAAGAATGAATGATATAACAAAAAAAAATATTAAAAAAATAAACTGCTTCTGCTGACGATTGTGATACATACAGAAGTCACTGTTTTAGTGAACATTATACTTGTACTTCCTTAAACTCTTTTTAGATCGAGAAAGAAATGTTGATAAAACTCTTTGTTTCGGATGGTGTGTGCGCACCAATTGTACTCACACAAAAGACAACAGAGTAAGAGAACGGCAATTTTTTTTATTGTGGCTTACCAATTTTCACCCACAAATGTAAAACATTTATGTGGTTCACCACAACCAAAACCAGACAAAATGCATTTCGGATTCGCTTGTTTGGAATATTTTACGAGAACATTTCATGAACACTCGTTTTGTTACTGACGGAACAGTCAATTTGTTCACAAATCACCAAATATCAATTAGAGATTTTGTTTCAATTACTTTGTTTTCGTTAGAATTCACTATTTTCGTACCTGTAAGAAAGAACAGAATTTTAGTTATAAAAGTGGAATAAAAGTTGAATAGACAGTTTGCAGAAGGAAGAAAATAAACATATAGCAGATAACTTATTTCATTGGAAATTTGTTTATGTTTTCCGTATAGTTGTAACGAAAATCGATTTTCTGTCATCGAAACTACACTCAGAATCCCATTTTTTTGTTGTCTTTAACAAGAAAAGCTATTGTCACATCGATCGATCTATCCATCAATCGATAAGCTGAATAACCATCGTTACTTTATTCTTTTTGTATAAATTACTGGTGAATAAACAAACAAATAAAAAAAATTTAAACACTAATAAAATAAGGCCTGATGCCGCATGTCAATTGCACATAAAATTTTAGGTTAAACAGAATATTACGCTAAACGATAAATGTTTCTTCATTCGTATTTCATCTTAACCACGTTGCATACCATCCAAGGAATTCACTTCTTTTTCTACGTACGGCAAGCAAAGCGTCTGATTGAAATTCGAAAATGCACACAATAAACGTAACGAAACCAAATAAATACCGCAATAAAGCAGACATAATTGGCTATATATACGGGAAACACGATATCCACTTCACAGGCTTGTTGCGATGTTAACGATGAGAGCGTCGCAGTAAAAAAAAAACTACCGTGGATACACCATGCATTTTGGATAGTGACACATTGGTAAAATCTTTGTGTTGTTCAATCCGTAGCAGATGTACACATTTAGAAACCAGACAGAAAAAAAAACACTCACTCTCATTTCGAATTGAGCCAAACAGAAGAAGAAAAAAAGTGTGCTAGCTTGTAAAACCCATCATTAAAACCATCTGACATCAGCTGATGAACAAACGACACAAAAACATAAAAACTACAAAATAAAAAATTGTTCAATACATGTAATATTTTTTCTATTGTAGAAATGAAATGAAAAATTACAGATAAACCAAAAATAATTAAACCGCTCTTTGGGAATGTGTTATTAAATTCATATGCGTTCAAAAGTGCCCGCTAACATGTGGCATGAGTGCATTGAATATTTATTCATAATAAGCTTATGAAAATAATGATCTAATTTACTAGCCAGAATTTGTGAACAAAAACAAATAATAATCTAATTTAAAAGAGGAAAAAATAAAACTAAAATGTAATAGGATAAATGAAAAAGCTAAACTCAAAATCGAAAATAAAGGGAAGTAACAAAAAATCAGGACAATATCTTTTTAACAGCAAAATCGTAAATGCAAACAAATAAATAAAAGTAATGAGATAAAAGAAAAAAAAATAGTCTTAGCGTATATTGTACTAAATTTAGGACATGTACTAAAAGAAAAACAGCAGCTCAAAGCATATCTCTCGAAGCACAGAAATGAAATACGAACGATAACATCGAGAGCGCAAGAACATCACCGTGAGCCGATGTGTGCGTGCATGTGTGTGGCACTGGTTATTTCTGTTGCACCTCGAGATATAGAATGCAGCTGGAAAACGAATACTGTGCTATTGCTTTTTTCCACGGTTTTTTTTTTGCTTTAACAACATGATATTAGTGCGTTCAATTATTCATTGGATTCCAAGTTCTATCACGATGAGTGGAACACGTGAAGCTTTAATTTAATCAATCAACAATTCTCTAAACCAATACATAAATGGAAGAATGAACAAAATTACCAAAATAGCTTTTAACTTATCGCTCGATCGGTATGTATAAATCGTATATTGAACGAAAAATGAGCTTTTCATGTTTTATTCAACGTTTTATCGATTGAATGCCCATTTTGCCAAATCGATCTGTTTTCACATAAATTTAATTCACCGAAAAAGACTTTTAACCAAGTGCTAATATTTCCATTCATCATTTAATGACAAATTATAAACATAGCATAGTTGAAGAACATTGACGATTCTGTCGTAAATACATTTCTCAAATGTGCTTTCTTTTTCTATAACAACCCTGTGTCATTCGAATGCGGTTTGTGTCGCGATTGAAATTATACATGAAATGGTGGATTTAAAAGAACTAAAAGGAAACTTGACAAAACAAACAAACACTAAATTAGGATATATGAGACAAGATTAAAACAGAACAAAAAAAAACAATGTATTGAACCAAAAACCATTGGATTAGTAGTTAATGCGATTTATTTGTATTAAATTACAAATGAGCATCGGATTACAGTCGAAGCGGCACACACACACATACACAATCCATGCATCAAATGCAACACACATCTAACGGGCTGATCATGAATGAATAAATTATCAATTAGTGCATTGTAGGTTTGTGATAGTACATTTGTAAAATCAATTAATTTAGAGCCTCAAATGCTCCTCTAACCCTCTTTTTCTATCTCCCTATCTCGCGTTCAACTATAAGTTATCGGTATTGATTTTAAATTTTGTGATTTACAAATTATTTTAACATGAAATTGCGTTTTCCACTTTTTGTTACTGCCAAATTATATGAACTGCAATATTTTTTAGCAAGAAAAAAAACCAAGCGTTTGTTGTGTCATTTAAATTTGATCCTTTTTTTTCCTTAAATTTGATAAGACAGTGTCTTATGACCCACTGTCTTAAAGACACACAGCAGAACACATTATCTTTGATTTTTTTTTTTTTTTTCGAAGTGAACAGTCCATAAAAATGCTGGTAAAATGTAGCAAAAACCATATCCGATGAAAAAAAGAAGGAAACAAATACAAATCACTAGAATATAAGCATAATTACTTGTCGAATAGACTTTGCTGTTAAAAACTAATATCAGTAGGTACTATTCATATATTGTAGCCACAAGCAAACAGAAAAAAAGGGCAAACGTGGGCAATTTTACGTGGAAAATAAGGCTCCAATTGAAATATTAGTTCAATGCATAATCCTGCGCGTGCTCTTGCTTGTCCGATTGTTTATATTATCAACGGTTTAGGTTACATTGGCACACAAAATAAAAGCAAACAAGAAAAAACGGAAAATTCTCCCAATCGTTGAACAAACAAAGAGAGGAAAGAACACAATGTTTCGGCAACTTTTTTTTTATTGTTTGTGCTGATGAGAGAGACCATATCAAATTATTATTCTCGATTACAAAACATTCAGATAACACAGTTACCATGGTTTATGTACTTCGGTTCACTGAACAAATTCCTGTTTTGTCTACAAAAATAATATAAGAAAAACAATATGTTGAAGTGCAATGTGTAATCCAAAATGTGAAACACGCAAAAAAAAAGTTAGTTAATTAGAATAGACAATAATCATATATTTGATGCAACAACAAAAAAAAACATTTAATTTCTACTCATAATTAGTAATTGTAAACGATTTTATTTCATTGTTGGTTTCTGTTAAATAACAACGATCCATCCCCTCCCGCAAATGAATCTACAGCTCTGATATGTATGTATAGGACGAAATAAAATGTGTGCAATGTTCACCAGAAATATGAACCATTTTTGAACACATTTAAGACAAACAGAATTTAAATTATCCATCAATTCGTTGAGAATTATGCGCTAACGTATATTTTAGGCATCATTACACACACACACACACACACACAAACATACCAGAAAAACCGAACAATTTCCAATTTCCATAAAACAATGCAAATCAAAGCAAAACTAAAACACAATAAAAACCAAATCAACAACCAGAAAGAACAGAAAATAATTATATTCAAATATTAATAAATTATTATATGATGACGTGTCAATCTATTTAATGTGATGAACAAAATGGCTCGCTTGTTATCCAATTCAATATTTGTTTCACAATTTACACATTCGCATGTCAATGAAATATTTATTTGAAACCATAACAATAGACAATTTCATGGGACGTTGTATGGAAATGAATTATCCGGAGATTCTTTCATTCTCTCTACCTCCTTCCCTCCATCCATCCATATCACCTCCTCCGTTTCTCTTTCGCTGTCACATCAAAAAAAACTCATTCGCATATAAAATTTAACATAAACAACACTCAAAATCACCCAAATGCAAAACCGACGCGCGACCTTTCCAGGACGCCCTGAATAATAGTGAGAAATACAAATAAATATATGTATGAAAAATAAAATAAAATTAAATACAGAGAAAAAAAAACAAAACAAAACAAAGAACGCGTTTTATTGTTTCCAATTCGATTATAATCTTTGGCATTAGATCTGGCGGTCATTTCGGCCATATAGTTCATGGATATAGGTATATATATAGTGTATGGTATAATATATTTACAGTGCGCGCTTTTTAGTAATAAACTTTCGTTTGTGGGGCAATGAAATTAGCCGTAACTTTTAGTGCTTCATAGAGTGCTCTTAGCACCAAATCGACTTTTTGGTGTGTTGCATTCGAGTTCATGGTACCAATACGGAAAATGATTCCCTTCGTATGGCCGATACCATGCGAGATTTCCACGGAGTGTCTGTGCCAGGGTTGGTGTGCAAATCGTAAAACGTAGAGCCGAATAGCGATAACAGCAACGAAAGAGAAAATAACAAGCAAACGTTGAAAATTAAACTTGATTGCTATTTAAAGCCGGAAAAATAGAGATTATTAACATGTAGTAAGTACAATTCCCATACCTGTCCATCATACACTTGATAACATTTTCCATTTTTACGCCGTGCGGAATGCGAACGGAAGTGACCGATGGACTGCGCTGTTCCGGATTTTCCACAAACAATTCTAGGCCAATATTCTGGAGACCTTCACGCAATCGTTGTGCATTTTCGGCGTGACGCAATCGGAATAAATCCAAACCCTCGGCAACAATTTCGGCCAAACTTTCGCGCAGCGCATAGAGTAGTGGTGCTGAAGTCGTGTGATGATAGCTAAAATTGTGAGAGAATTGAAATGGAATACATTTTTGATGACGTCTCCATTATTATTTTCAGTTCCTTTTGATATCGCCTCTCACTTACTATCGTGGCTTATCGGTGCACTTGTACAGTTCGCTCATGTATGTTGTGTCGAAGAAAAACACATTCGATGGTACCTTACGATTAACAATTACCTCCATAGCACGGGGGGAGAATGTAATTGGTGCCAAGCCAGCTGCAGCGCCCAGTACTTTTTGCGATCCACTGAAGCATACATCAATTTTATATTCGTCCACATTCAATTCGGCCGCTCCAAGCGAAGACACAGCGTCAACCACGAACAATGCATTATTTCTACAGATCAAATAATTGTTATGATTTCGCTTTGTTTTTTTTTTCTCTCTGTGAATAAGTCGCTCGTAATTACCGTTCGCAAAGATCACCCAATTTATCCAGATTTTGAAGCACAGCGGTTGATGAATCGCAATGACAGACGAATAAAACTTTTGGCTTATGCAACACCACTTGAGCACGAATTTGCTCATATTTGAAAGTTGTTCCCAATTTACTCTCAATAATTCGTACGTCGGCATTATATCGTTTGGCTATTTCAACGGCACGCCAACCAAATGTACCGCTTACACAAAGCAAAATCACATCATTCGGCTCCAGCGTGTTGCCAAGTGCCATTTCCATGCCAGCATTTCCAGAACCAGTAACACAGAACCTTAGTAAAAAAGGATTTAAATGCAAATAAAAGGCCTTTAACCTTAGAAAAAAGGATTTAAATGCAATTAAAAGGCTTACGTGATCGGATTCCGTGTTTGAAATAAATATTTCAAACCCTCACGGATTTCATCCATAACCTAAACAATAACAACAACAATTACAATCGATTGTTAATTTAATCAAGTTTAGCATAATTAATTCCGAGCGACAAAAAAAATCACCTTTGAAGAATACAAAAATAAAGATATTCTACAAAAAAGTGTCAACAATTTTTTTTCCGTGTTGATAAACGTGAGATAACGCATTTGTCGTCAAACAAAACAAAATATTTAGCAGAGCAATAGCTCTGTGAAATTTGTAAGTACTCATGCCGTTATAATAACAACCGATAAGAAGATGCTGTCAAACATCAAAGGGAAAAGACATAGCGAAAATAGAGAAATAAACGAATTTGTCAATTGATAACACAGTTCAACCATATAATCGTTGTGTGCGTCTGTGTAAAGCGGTAGGTTTCACAGTTTATCATGCGTCTGGCTAATGCATTTGATTATTTTCTAAAAAAAGAAATAAACAGGCGACACACAAACAATACAAGTCATAGGTTGTGAGACACCTAACACTCTTTTACCGGATGATTATTGGAGAAACTTTTGTGCCGTTCATTTCTTTTGATTGAACATTTTTCGATCACAATTCATTTATCCGGATATGAAGGGAATTTTCGGGAGAAAATAATGAAATATTTTTTTTCTCGATTTTGTGGGAAAAGAAACTTTCTTGGCTTTGAAGTAAACTAGATTTCTTAATTTGGGAAAAGTTTTCAATTTTATCAAAAATATATTTCTCAATGAATATTATGAAATCAAAATTTTGCACGGATGATAAATTATGATTGAATTGACGATGCAAGTGAAAATTGATTTTCCTCCAACACTAAACAATAAGTTGTTGAAAAACAATAATAGACAAACAAAAACCGATTCGGATTAGCTGATACAAACTTACCTGGGTATATTCCTCGGTGTACAACCCCATGACCGGTTTGGATAGTGCCTCGGTGACGCGTTTCGATGGGTTTGTTGGACCGCTGCCCATTAAAACCATTGGCCGTACAGCAATCGGTCGTCGTAGGCTGTTGGGTGGTTGGATCGGATCTTCATATTCCATCTCTTCCAAACTGACTAGCGGTGCCTTTATATCAACCATTGTGATGCAGAAAAAAAACCAAATCGATTAAAAATTTATGGGAATAATAGAATTCGAATTCTAAACGGTGATGCCAATCCAACGATTAGTGTGTCTAATAGCGATGTGAGGCAGCGATTCTCTTTTTATAAGCATTTATTCGACTCAATTTTATTGTGTCGGGTTCATTCACACAATACAGATAGAAATGCAATGTGCATATGTGTATGGCGGAGTATTTAAAGAAAGGCAAAAATCAATCAGTCATTCGTCATTATGTAACCTTTGATTGTAAATACTTTTTTCATTCTGTTGATAACTACAATGCAGTTGAAAATTATCGTAAATTTTGTTTAAATATCAAATGCGCAAATTCCTTTCCGAATCGACTGATGCCATCTATTGATAATTCGTAGTAAACTACTGTGTTATCATACACTCTGGTGACATTCAACCAAACCATTTGCTGGTGTATTCAGTACAGCTAAATATTTGAATTGAAAACTCTCTCAAAATAAAAACGAATTGATATTTCTATTTGTTATGTTTTTTTGTACAATGTATTTATAAACCAAAATATAAATGTGTTTGCTATGAAGCTCAGAAACAATGGAATTGATGAAAACAAATCCTAAAATCATTTTCATTATTATTTTATGTCCGTCTTATTTTTTTATCAGAGCATCAATTTAATTTAAAGTATCTTTGCATCAGCAACGACGATGACTCCATTCTTTTTTTAATTCTAGAAATACATTTTCTTATGATACAAATGATTTTTTTGCAATTATTTAAAATCAACGACCTTCTACCTCGATTCGAAATAATAATAATGAGCAACTGAAATCAATCCAGCTCACAACGGCTTTCCAAACAGAAACAATTTGGAGTTTTTGACCTGTTTTCTCTGTTGTCCTTTTCGATATATTTTATGACATTAACTGAATATTTGTTGTTGAACATTTCTATGAAATTATGTTGTGCAAGAATTGAAAAGAAAGGAAAAAAAATTATATGAAAAATAATTAAGATAATAAAGTAATTAGTGTATACTATTTTTAAGCTTTTTTTGAGGATTGTCATTTTCATCATACATTTCGCATTCCATACATTTCCATTTGATCCCAAAGACTGACTTCCAAATTGCTGCTTCACTTTTTAAAGTAAGGTAAAATGGTGACTTTTACTAAGTCACGTAATTCGCTCAACATGGTTCGAAAATTTTGATCACAACAGTAAAACTGTGTAAAATTGTACAATTTGAATACCTTCATTTTTTTCTGACGCAATATGAAGTTGACCGCAATAACTCCCTGTGAGGGAAAATCTGTTGGTTTTGAACCGATGAATAATTGGAATCGGTCTCGTTACATCTCTTCCGCGTATGTCTGTTATGTGTATTGAAATTTTTTTCAGTTGTGTCAGATTTTCGTCGATCTTGGATATCACCTTCATAACACTCAACCATCATCAATTTGAAATGTGGCTTTAATTCTAACGAACTTAATCGTAAATCATCAACAGCTACTTTGCCTACAAAGTTTTTTTTTCATTATTTCAAAAGTTTCTGTTTATTTTCAAAAAAAAAAAACATAAAAAATCGTATCATATTTCCATTGAACAATCGTCTGTTTCTCCAATCCCGAGCGCCATCTATTGATAATTATTTTCATTTTGGCTCTGTGTTGTCATACACTCTGGTGGCATTCAGTCATACTAATTGCTGATGCGGCGATTTGACATTTAGCACAGCAAAATAATAAAGTCACATATCATTACTCAGCATTGTTTGCAACAGAGGTTATTTTGGAGAAAACAATAAAGGTAGGTGAAAATATTTTAAATGAAATTCGATCGCAAGTGCAATTTTCATTTCCATAAATAAATAAGCGCATTGCAATACTTACTCCCATTTTGATACGGAACGCTTAATTGTCATTTTGTTGATTTCCAGGTTTAGTTTAACAGAAATGGTTGCGAAAAACGAGCCCCAACAACAAGATGTTGAAATGGAGAGCGCTGAAGACGTCGAAAATCAGAAGCGCGAACAGGATTTGGCGGCCGTGCAAGAGATTCGTGAGCATAGTCGACAAATCGAAAAGGCTGTCTTGACAAAGGAGCCACGGTTCATACTGCGTGTGTTGCGATCATTGCCAAATACTCGTCGCAAATTGAATACGATTGTGCTACGCAATTTAACGGCACATTTGTACCCAGCTGGTGCTGAACGTGATTCAATCACTCAATTTTTGGATGCATTACAACCGGGCCAAGAATTGGAAGTGCAACGAACACGGGCGATCATTAAATCACCAATTCCCGAAGTTGACGCATATTTACATTTGTTGGTGTTGGTCTTTTTGCTCGACAAATCGCAATTGGACAAAGCCCAAGCGTGCTCCGATGCATTGATCAAGAAAATTGTCGAACAAAATCGCCGTACATTGGATTTGATTGCGGCCAAAATCTACTTCTATTATTCACGCGTTGCCGAATTGACCGATACATTGGAAAATATTCGCAGTTTCCTGCACAATCGCTTGCGTACGGCCACACTGCGTAACGATTTTGAGGGTCAAGCGGTGCTCATCAATTGCCTGCTGCGGAACTATTTGCATTATTCGCTGTACGATCAGGCCGATAAATTGGTCAAGAAGTCGGTGTTCCCGGAAACGGCCAGCAATAACGAATGGGCTCGATTCTTGTATTACTTAGGTCGTATCAAAGGTGCAAAATTGGAATACAGTGATGCGCATAAGAATTTGGTGCAGGCACTGCGAAAATCACCACAGAATGCTGCTATCGGTTTCCGACAAACAGTTCAGAAATTGATCATTGTCGTTGAACTGCTGTTAGGTAATATTCCTGAGCGTCAAATTTTTCGACAGGCTGCACTGCGTCGTTCGCTCATCCCATACTTTCAACTGACACAAGCCGTTCGTTTGGGAAATTTGCAACGTTTCGGCGAGGTTTTGGAAAATTTCACACCGAAATTCCAACAGGACCATTCGTACACACTGATCATCCGTTTGCGTCACAATGTCATCAAAACGGCCATTCGTTCGATTGGTCTGTCGTATTCGCGCATTTCACCCGAACATATTGCTAAGAAGCTGGGTTTGGACAGTGCCGAAGATGCTGAATTCATTGTCGCCAAGGCAATCCGTGATGGTGTCATCGAAGCAACAATCGATCCGGAAAAGGGCTACATGCGCAGCAAAGAAAGCATGGATGTGTACAGTACACGTGATCCACAATTGGCTTTCCATCAACGTATCTCATTCTGCTTGGATCTGCACAATCAAAGTGTTAAGGCAATGAGATACCCACCAAAATCGTATGGCAAAGATTTGGAAAGTGCCGAAGAGCGACGAGAACGTGAACAACAGGATCTCGAACTGGCTAAGGAAATGGCCGAAGACGATGACGATGGCTTCTAAACGACTCGCATCACTATTCAGCATATTTAATTTGGGCATAAAAAAAAACAAACACTTTCACTACGAAACAAAAACAAAACAAAAATCATAGCTGACTCCTGGCATATTAAACATCTATAATTGCGAGCGATGTAATCATAGCCCCAAAAAGATTTTGCATTAAATTGAATGATCATTGAAACAATTTACCCCTTATTTAATAGTTCTTTTTGTGTTTGAAAAACCATTATTCGAAATAAAGATACAAAAATTAATAAAATAAAACTCAATGAGAAAAACACAAATGTATTGGTGATCTGATTTATTCTTCTCTTTTTTTTGGTAAAATCGAATTGCCCACGAACTAGAACTTTTGTTCAATATTAATTGGAATTCGTTCACAAAAATGGTGACACTTTTTTTTCAGCTGCAATAAGTCGATGAACTGCAAAAATGGTAATGTATGGCAATGAAACATAACCAACAAAAAAAAATTCAGTTGAAAATTAATTGTCATCTTATGAATGTAATTGTGTGGAAAAACAATTCGAAGAAAGACTTTTGGTTTTCGTTTAACATGAAAATTTATTTCATTCATTTAACAATGCATCAATTTATAAAATAATGTGCATTTTCATTGATGTTGCCAATTACAGAAAATGAAGCGATTGACGAAATATGAGATGAAAAAATAAAGAAATTTTTAACTTAGAGAAGTTCACGATATTTTTGTTTTGCTGTTGTTGTTCTGTTTTAAACACAAAAATAGCCTGATGGCTAAATGATTCATTATCATTTGCCACTTCATTTCCTTGATTTCGTCTAAAAAATGATAGTTTTGAGCGTACAAAATGGGGTGTTTGATGTACATTTCAATCTTAATGTAACAGATGTTAATTGGTCATTGTTTTGGAAGGGCAGGGTCGTTTTTGAGTTTTGTTCAAATAGTACGAATTGATCAGTAGTGTGGCGGATGACGTGGTGGTGGCATCAATTCTCTGTATCGGCATCGTTCAATATATTCTTCCAATATTTCGGTTGTTACCGGATTTCTAATACTTTCGCATACCGCTGCAATGGAAAATTCAAACAAAAATTGAAAATTACGACGAATTCAGCGAGAAAAAAATGATTAAAAAAAAACAGGAATGTGGAATCGTTACCCTTGGCCGTTTTGAAGCTGTTCGGGAACGATTTGTCAGTTCTTTCACGCATGAATTTCCATTGATTGTCCTCGAATTTGCACTCGATTATTTTTCCGTCCAATTGCTTAATCTGTGTCGATAATTTTGGGAACTGTGCAAACGGTTGTTCCAGCCCACCAACATATAGATAACCAACCTTCTTCGTTACAATACTGCAAATGAAACAACAAAACATGCGGTTAGTTTACAAAAAAATTGAGTTGAATAGGATGTAAAAAGATGGGTTGAATTGGCAATTACCCAGCTCCACTTTCTGTGCCAATCTTCAATTTGAAGTCAACCGAATTCATGGTCAGTGGTTTCCACTTCAACACTACATCACATTGGCCTGGAATATAAGCCTGAAACCAAACGAAGAACATGTTAATGTTTCGCTTTGATCGATTCAATGCTAACATAAATCAATTGATGAATTAATTACTTCGAGGGATGGCTGGAAGATGAGTCCGTCTGGTTCATGGCCAAGAGACTCGGTGAATTTTGGCGCGAGCAATTTTTTCGCTGCTATCACATCATAAAATTCTTTGGCACGAACACCGAATGGTTCGCGATCTCTGTTGATAAGACGGTGTTGCATTGCTCCGTGGCGAGGAGCTGAAATGATAGTTATGTAAGTATATTTCCAGATTGGATTCGAATGTTTATCATGGATTATTGGAATTCAGGAAGTGTAGGAAATTCGATTCGTACCTATGATATTTTCAGTGATACATTTCAAACGGCTGAACAGTGTTTCCGAGAAAAAAGCGTACTCGATGTAGCTGTCCCCATTGTAGCACACAACATCGTATATCAAATATCTGGGTATAGTTAGACCTGTCTTTTTATCCTTGTCGATTACCATTTCACCGTCGACGAGAGTATCATAAATGTGAGT